TTAAGGTATCAAATGTTAAAGCACCAATATAAAATACTGATAATGAAAAGAAGTGATAAACATATATATGAGAAGAATTGGAAAATCTCAAAACCTTTTCAATGAAGCTCACAAAATTCTTTTTTATTTAGAAAGAGATTAACATCAATATTTAGATAACTTACCAATCATATTAAAGGACTGTGGTTCCAGCCCAAATTTTTAAATATGATCTCCCTTAAAATTATGATTTATAATTCTATTGGGAAAGTTTTTAGATAGCAAAGATTTCATAAAAGTCAAGTTAATATCATAAAATTGAGTCAATTATATTATTGTCTAAATATCTACCTACAAAAATTCCTTTGCTGATTAAGTGTGAATAATGCTAGTACTAAAGAAATATTTTCTGTGATGTACCACAACCAAGTTTTAAGTTGTGTTTCTTTTATAGAAGAGCCATGAAAGTAGAATAATTACATAGTAGGAGATAAGGGATTAGTTTGGTCATTTTCAATAAAAATAGAAGCTGTGGATGTTTTCTGAATTAATATTAGCCATAGATTGTAACCTTTTATATTTCATGTTGAGCTCTGTTATATGGTTTTTTAAAACTGTTATATTCAGTGCTTGAATATGAAGCATTGGTGTGCTCTTCATGTTAATATGGCAGAGTTTTGTGAACTAAATTGAAACTTATTAACGTTCTGAACTTTGAGCCAAAAGAAAAAAAATCTATATTTCCAAAATGTATTGGGAGTGAAAGCTTATTCTGAAAACAGTCTGCCCATTGAGGTTATTAGGTTTCTGGCTTGCATATGTATGCTTTGTGCTTGAGAAGAATTGGAGAAAAAGCAAGTAGAATTCTTATTTAAATACATATACAGCAGTCTTTGTTTATAGTGTAAAGTTCTTTATATTTTGTACAAAAACTAATTCTTTTGGTAAAATGAACCATTTACAGTTATTTTGGACTCTTGAGTCAAAGGATTTTCCTTTAAATGCTTGTCTCAATTTTAGTCTGGTCTTTTGTACTTATTTCAGAAAAAAATGAATTAAAGGGTATAGCTGCATAAAATGGGTATTTATCCTAATGGATTGTAAATAAATGATAAACTTTATTTTGCCTTTATTTTATTTAAAATGTTTTTGAGATTTCAGAGTTTGCAGTCCCATAGTGGGGGCATTTTATAACTCTTTTGACAATAACATTTATAAACTCTGACCAAACATAAAAAGCAATGAGTAGAATGCCCCAATACAGCAATGAAAATCAGAGAGAAACTCTACAAAATCCTACATTAGGAGAAATTTACATTAAACAGCTTTTACCTACAGTGCAATTTATCTGGGAATAGAATTCAAGCCAAATGTGTCAGTCTTGCTGTGCTGAGTACTCATGTGGTACTTCTAGAACAGCTTGAAATTAGAAGGGATGTATTAGAAAGGCCTTAGAGAAGTAAGCCCCCAAATCTGCCTGTACATTCCTTTCAAATTCTTATTGAATTCCAAAATTGTACCTGTGTAGGGGGATATTCAAAGGAAGCCAGCACAAAGCAATAGTCTGAAGAACACAGCAGGAGATATCAAATGCTTGAGGATAGTTTTGAAATTCAAGTTCTAATAGGGGGTTGAGTAAAACACTTTGTGTTTATCATTTTAAATCAAAAGGAGTTGGGCTATAGGAATAATGACAATATACTAGTGGCTGTCCTTTACAACTAAGGGCAAAATAGAAAGAAATTCACTATAACAAACCTTACTTCAACAGCATCAGGGTTATCCATTAGTAGATTAAAGCCAGAAGAAAATGGCATTTTTTATCCTTGTTATCTTTGCACTCTTTGCAATTACTTTGCAGTTATTGAGCATGCAAAGAAAAGTTATATGACCCATAATCAGTATATGAAAATATATAAGCTGGATGTCAGTGATGTATGCCTGTAGTCCCACCTGCTCAGGTGGCTGAGGCAGGAGAAAATCACTTGAGTACATAATTCCAAGGCCAACCTAGGCAACACAGAACTTCATCTCAAAAAAAGGAACTGTTCAAGTAGACCCCTATAATAGCATCCTATTACAGAATGATTTTAAAATATGTTTCAACGAATTTATAGGAAAAGAGAAAATGATGAACAGATTGGGATTTTTCAGCAGAGAAATAGAAATTAACCCAATGGGAAGTCTGATAACAAAAAGTGTGCTTTTTTTGTGATCAGAAAAGTACATTATCTGAAATAAAAAGTTTCATTAGATGGCCATAACTAAATTGGACAGAGAGGAAAGACTGAACTGAAAGACAAGCCAATAAACTTAGCAAAGCACTGAGAAAAAAATGGAGGTTTGAGAACTCTGGGACAGTACTAAAGTATCCATAATTAGGCACAGAGAGGAAAGGATTATCAAGCAATAAATATTTGAAGCAATAAGTGAAATTTCCCCAAAATTGTTGAAAGATTTCAATAGATTTAAGCAACACAAGAATAGGTATGATGGTGGAATAACATTGCATAACCTCATGAGAAATGTTGAGATTCAGAAGATAATGAAATGACATCGATAAGTTACAAAATTAAACAGAAGTTAAAATTCTGTAGTTCTATTGTTCAAAATGTTAAAAGTAAACGATTTTCCAGATAAACCAAAGCAAAACAATTTCTCACAGGTATACTGATGTAGAAAATGCTTAAGGAAATTTTTAGACTGAAAGAAAATTATCCTTAATGAGAACTTGTGTCTCCAGAAAGGAACTAAAAACTTTGGAAATTATAAGTATGTTGACAAATTACTTTTTGCTGAATTTTTCTAAGTACTGCCTATTTAAAACAAAAGAAATTATAGTATTGTTATTCATACTTGTCGAAGTAAAATACAGAACTAAAGCAACTGAAGAGAATAATAAATGGAATTAGATTTTTAAGGGTTATTTGTACGCAAAGTGGTCTAGTATTAACATAAGGTAGATTGTGGTAAATTGATGGTGCATACTATAATCTTTCACTGAAAAAAACAGTGCAGTATATCTAAAAGCCATTAGAAAAAATGAGATAGCCTGATAAGAATTATGATTCAAATTGAATCAAGAAAGGGGAAAAATAATAACAAGCAAATGAGATGAATACAATGAGACACAGTGGAAATGAAATACAACAACACTAACAAATTAAAAAGAATTGCCTTACTGACTTGCTTCCTGAACTACTTTTTTAAAGTCCTTAGGTGGTTGGACCCTCAAAAGACTATCAGAGATTTGATAATCCATTAGGAGCACTGAAGGGACTCAGCATATAATTATATTCATAACAGATGTTACAGCAAAAGGATATAAACCAAATTTAGCAAAAGGTAGAAAGCACAAAGCCAAGCACTAGTTTCCATGACTCCTCACCCAGTGGAGTCAAAATACACTTAATTTCTTCAGCAACAGGTAACAATTTGTGTGCAATTGTAAGCCTGACTGTTGGACATAGTGAGCCACTCTGTTAAGAGAATAAGGAGAACCCTCCAAATCCAGTTTTCCAGATGCCAGCCAAGAGTCAATCTTGCAAGCACGATTTTATAAAGATAATAGTCTCAGGCCTATTTTTTTTTTATGAGAGAATTATTTAGTATTTATTTTTTAGTTTTTGGCGGACACAACATCTTTGTATGTGGTGCTGAGGATCCAACCCAGGCCGCATGCATGCCAGGCCAGCGCGCTACCGCTTGAGCCACATCCCCAGCCTCCTGATTTTTTTTTTTTTTAATAACACGTTGATTTTATTTATTTTTATGTGTGCTGAAGATCGAACCCATGGCCTCGCGCAAGCTAGACACGCACTGAGCACAACCCCAGCTCTCAGGCCTAATTTTTAACTCTTGGTGGCACAGTGTTTTAGATCAAAGTTCAGTGAGGAGAGAAGTGGCTCAAATGGAGTGAGAAGGTTATCTACAATGGACAACTTAATATGGGTGTCAAGAGATAAAAAGGAAGGTAATCGGTGGGTAGGAGCACTCTGGAATAAGGTATATGAAAATAGAGGAGAGTCAATAACTGATTTTTCAATCTAATGGGAACTTGCAATCAATCATTAGGTCTTATGGCTTGCTTATACTGAAGTTTCATTGGGTTTATATGTCTGTTTAGCATGGAATATTCCCTTATAAAAATGGTCCCTAACTTAAAATGTTTTAATGATTTTTAGACTGCAATGGTGTAAAAGCACATTCAGTAAAAAACATACTATAAATTTTTATCTTTGTGTGGGCTAGTATGTACTTTCAGATCTTAAAATACAGTCTCTTTCGTCTAAGGATGTTTGCTCTACTTGTTTATAATGTCTGGAAAAAACTTCAAAGATTTTACCCAATCAGAAGTTAAATTTCATCTCCATAGAGCTTTCGATGACCACTACTGTAAATTAACCATCCAGTTAATCTGCAATGGCACTGTCCTATTTCCTACCTGACGCTAGTTAAGAATATCTTGTTTTTAAACTTATCGCTCTCCCGCTGATTTTGTCTCTTATTACCATATAATTTTCAAGAAACCAGTACCTAACTCACACAGGTGCTCCATATTCAGTCTTCATCCAATATTAATGTATTTTTCAAGTTTTCTATAATTAATGTTATCTGCATAACAAAGTTAACTTTATAATGGTTTTAAATAATATTTTAGAGAGTCCACCACACAGTACTTGCTATTAGGCATTCCAAGTTTAACTTTTGCTACCACAGCAACCTAGTCAAGTTTCTCAATCTTCCTCTTTGTATTCACTTGTAGAACGGGAATACTATTCATTTCGTAAAAATTGAATCACACAACATAGATATAAGTGCTTCAGCAGTCAGCGACATTTTCCCCGTGTTAAAATAAACTTTAACTGCTCCTTGTCACTGGCCTCAACAGCTCAAGTCATTGGCAAGACAGGGAAGACAGCGCAAGGGACGGTCTAGCCGCCGCCTTCACCTCCACTAGATGCTCAGCAACCGGGAAGGGGCGGGACCCCGAGGCCTGGGCACGTACTTCCGCCCCCGCGTCTTTCGCAGCCAATAGGCCTCTGGTGCCCCACCCCTTCCGCACTGGGCAAATTGAGCCCCCACAGCGTCTTCCGGCGGGAGCTGTGCAGCTCCTTATCATGGTGAGTTGGCCTCGGGGTAATGAGGGTTTCTGTCATAGGTGATTCCTGTTACCTTCTCTCGTCCGAAGCTGACTTGAAATGCCTCAGCCTCTCAGAGGAGGGGTCGTCGGAGTTGCTGTCGGGCCCCCGAGGAGAAGCGGCTGTCGCCCAAATGGTTCCCCCCACATCCCTGGTCCCTTTCTGTTCTTCACCCCGTTCCTTTGCTTCTCGGGATCCGAGTTCCGCTCCAGGCCAAGCTTTCAGCTCCTGGAGAATTTATGGCTTCCCCTGCCGAGATTTCCTCTCTATAAAAATAAAAGCCTTTTCCGGGGTCAGCGACTACATGACCAGCGAAAGATCTGAAAACAAGTCCACAGCAACCACGACGATTATGTGATGCCTAGAGAAGTGACAGTAACGCCAGGGGAAACAAAGTTAGGAGGAGGGTTTTGTGACAGACACCTGGTCCTGCAACTTGGGTTTCTTGAGTGGCAGGAAGCTTGGTATGGCAGCATGTTCCGTAAGGAACAGTGATTACACAGAGCCGAGGTGTTAATAGAGCATTTTATTACTACTTTATTTCTGTTTTTGTAGAAATTAGTGAACGATCCCACTATTCGTTATAATTGTTGAGATATAATGTTTCATCACAATTTATTAGAAGAATTAGTCACTTAAGGCCTTTAAAAATCAATATGTAAGTGTTGCAATTTAATCTTGTAATGTCAGATGGCAAAGTGGTGTGTGTTTCTTGAAACAGAAAAATTTATTGACACTTATGGGTAGCCTATGTATGATAAAGGGATTACATTTCTTAACCTAAGCTGTTCTTCCTTAAGTGAATGTGGTCGAATTTCTGTAAATTTTCTAAGTCTTTGAACAGGGAAAGTGAGTTAAAGTTTACTTCTCTTTCTTTTTTCCTAATGATCAAATAGTTTCTAGTTATGCTTTACTTCAAAACATTCACTATTGGATAGCTGAAATTATATTTCTAAAATTTGACCATGTCATGTCCTTGCTTAAAGTTTTTCCCTTTTTTTTTTTTTCTGGGCATGGTGGAACATGCCTGCCATTCTAGTTACTGGGGAGGCTGAACCAGGAAGATCACAAGTTTGAGGCCAGTCAGAGCAGCTTAGCTAGGATCCTGTCTCAAAATAAACAGGACTGGGGGTGCAGCTCAGTAGCTTGGTGGTAGAGCACTTGACTAGCATGTATGAGGCAGTGGGTTCAATCCCTAGTACTGAAGGGAAAAATTTTTTTTTCCTGTAGCCCTCAAGGCAGAGTTATTACTTTGGTTATTACAAAACCATCCATAATCAAGCTTCTTACCTTTTTACCTTTACAGACCCTTTTATACACACACACACACACACACACACACACACACACTCATCCTTATTTCAGCCACAGTGAAAAACATGAAAAGCCTACTTTATGCCTAATTTATATGTGGTACTCCATTTCCTGCATTGTTCTCCATCCCCAGCTCTCTATCCTTACTAACCTAACCTTTAAATATCCTTAATTTTTTCATGAACCTTTCCTTTATGACCTAGTGTCCTGAGAGCAGTTTTTCCTTTGTGCTCCTATAATTATAACTTATGCTTTTTTCTGAAATGAATAAGCAGTTTTATTACATAAAGAAAACTTCACAAAATGCATATATATCTTAAAAACCTAACTTGCCCTGAAACACTGATGAAGGGAGTGGAGGGTGCATTAAAAAGAAACTTAAAATTCAGAGGTTTTTCAGATTGTACACTTTGATTAACTTACAAATTTAAATTTGGATACCTTATGCTTTTTACCAATAGCATCTGTATCCCTTACCAGACTGTATTAAAACTGAATATATGGATTGGGGTTGTGGCTCAGTGGTAGAGCGCTTGTCTAGCATGTATGAGGCATTGGGTTCAGTTCTCAGCACTACATATTAAAAAAAATAAAGATCCATCAACATCTAAAGTATTTTTTTAAAAAAAACCTGTGTACTTGATTGTTCTTACCTCATAGACTGTGAGCTCTTTGAGAGCAGGAACCATATGTGTCACTCTGATATTCCCAGAACTGTGTACAGTGTCCGGTCCAGAGGAAGTTTTCAATAAATGTCTGTTTTTAAGTAAACTATAGCACTAAATGTTTATGCTTGAAACTTTATTATTAGTAATACGGAAAATAATGGCATTCAAGGTTACTGTGTATGTGTATGAGAGAGAGTTGCTAGAGATTTAACTCAGGGCCTCTTTCGTATATATAAGGCAAGCGCTCTATCACTAAGCTACATCCCCAGTCCCTAGGTTTATCTTAGATGTTTTAGGGAAAACACTTTTATGAGTCATTCATGGATTCATATTCTTTGTTAGAAAATATAGCCATTGTCTTTAGTGGTGTTACTAAAAATTTAACTTACAATAACAAAATGGAAATGACCCTTTGGCTAACAATAAAAATAATAAAAGTACATAGAAAGCAATACAGTTTGGAATGATCTAGGAAGAGTTCATGGAAGAAATGAAACATTTGTTTCTTATTCACATACTTTTTTTTCTTTTTTGTATCCAGGATTGAGTCTAGGAGCACTTAATCATAGAGCCACTTCCCAGTTACTATTTATTTTGAGACAGGGTCTCCCTAAGTTCTTCAGGCTGTCCTTGAACTTGTAATCCTCCTGCCTCAGTCTCCCCAGTCACTGGGATTATATGTATGCACCACCATACCCAGCCCTTATTCATATACTCTGAATCTAATATGTCTCTCATTTAGGTGAGGAATTAGGTGAACTGTGACAGGGTTAGTAGAGTTTGGATTACACAAGTCTCACCTTTTCACTTTGCAGTGATCAAGAGTAGGCCAGTTTAGCTAGAGTTGAGAATTTCTAACTGGAATAAGAAATAAGACTAGAAAGAAACAGGCTAAGTTATTGAAAACAAGTCAAGATTTCAGTTTGTGAAATTTGGAGTTTATCCTCATAGCAACGGAGAACCAATATAATTTTGGAAAGAATGATATGACTGTTAGAATTTTTGTTTCATTTTTAAACTGAGTATAGTATCAAAAGTGGACATCTGTCTTTTAAAAATCTTGTTGATTTTCTTAACCTGAAACTTAAAGTAATAAGCAAAATGGATTGAAGTCAAACAGAAGATTTTCAAGGAAAACAATATTAAGCAACATTTATTATCTTGGGACCAAAATATTCCACACATAATTCTTGCACAATGTATTTGTTAACATTAACATTTATTAACATCTCAAATGAAAATAGCATATTGTACCTATCAAACTGAATTAGCTTAGCAGGGCCTTTGATTTACAGAAACACTAGTCACTTTTTTTTTTTTATTTTTTAATTTTGGTGGTTCTGGGGATTGTACACAGGGTCTTGTGCATGCTAGGGAAGCACTGTACCATTGAGCGACCACCACTGCCCCTACCTGTTTTTAAAATTTTGAGACAGTGTCAAGTTACTGAGGCTGGCCTTGAACTTGCAATCTTCCTGCTTCAGCCTCCTAAATTGCTGGGATTATGTGAATGTGCCACTGCACCCTGCTAAATACTAGTCTTTATTTGGATAACAAAATTAGTAACACTTCTAGTGTTTATTTTTACTTTTCAAAATGTTTTACTTTATTATTCTGTTTTAAAAATTTTTAAAAATATTTTTATTCTACTTAGTTGTACATGACAGTAGGATGCATTTCAATTCATCATACACAAATGGAGTGCAACATTTCAATTCTCAGATTGTATTCTGCTTTTAATTATGACAGATTTCAGACATAAACAAAAGTAAAGAGACTGTTAATGAGCCCTATGTACCCATATCTTGGCATCAACAATTATTGACATCCTATTGATATTTTTCTTATACCACACTTTTATGCTTTGCCCTTTCTCTGACAGGAAGTCTCAGCATAATGTAACTAATGCATGTCTAAGCTTTGAAGAATGGGATACACCTTCTTTTTTTTTTTTAATCTACTTAGTTATACATGACAGGAGAATGCATTTTGACACATTGTACACAAATGGAGCACAACTTCTGGCTGTACATGGTGCAGAGTCACAACAATAGTGTAATCATACATGTATATAGGGTAATAATGTCAGTCTCATTCCAAAGTCTTTCCCATCCCTGCACTTGCCCACACTCCCCTCTGCACAATCCAAAGTTCCATCATTCTTCCCTACCTCTCCCCACATTATGGATCAGCATCTGCTTATCAAAGAAAACATTTGGCCTTTGTTTTTTTGGGATTGGCTTATTTCGCTTAGCATGATGTTTTCCAGCTCCATCCATTTACCCACAAATGCCATAATTTAAGGCAGAGTAATATTCCATGTGTATGTACCACATTTTCTTTATCCATTCATCTGTTGAAGGGCACCTTCATAGTTTAGCTGTTGTGAATTGAGCTGCTATAAACATTGATATGGCAGCATCACTGTAGTATGCTAATTTTAAGTCCTTTAGGTATAAACCAAGGAGTGGGATAACTGGGTCAAATGGTGATTCCATTCCAAATTTTTTGTGGAATCTACATACTGATTCCCACCAATTTGCAGTCCTACCAGCAATGAGGGAACATGCCTTTTTATAACTACTGAGATGTTTTCTTAACTATGTAAGAAAATCATTCCTGTGTTTGAATTGAATCTGAAAGTTTTTCAGTTTTAATCTGTTAATAACCCAGTTCCAGTGTTTTCTGGAGCTTAAATAGTTGAGTGAAACTGGCCAACTTAGTGAGGTTGAAGTGTCCTATGGTTGTTAGAATGAGTGTGGCGTTTACCATCAAGGAAAGAATTTTTTTAAAAATACAAATACTTAAGTTGTGACACATAGCAATCAAATTATAATAAATTGGGCTGTTGATATTGCTTAGTTGGTAGAGTGCTGGCCTCACGTGAATAAAGCCTTGGATTCAATCCCACCACCACACACAAAAAAATTATTATAAATTATGAAGGTCTTTGACTTAAAAGTAGCTGTAGAGTTTTGCTTATGGAAACCTATGCTAGACAAGGCCATGCCATATTTTCAGAATAAAAAGGTTTAAGTATTTTTAATGGAATAGTTAATGATCACAGATCTTTTGGCATTATTCCCATTATTTCCATTAAATATTATAACTTCATTTAACTGTAGCACACAACTAAAATACCCCTTTTGATCTTCCTCAGAGACATAAATTAGGTTTCTGCCTCTGTCCTATACCACATCCCAAACTCCAAGATGATGAAATTATAATCCATATTTTCTTCAGGCATAGTTTTGTATTTTAATTTTTAAATAACAAATCTGAATAAAGAATAGTAAGGATGCAACATTTCCTTCATTGGAATACATTTATTGAATAGCTCATATTTTCTCTCACTGCTATTAGATACTGCCATTATCATAAGTTATTTTCTCATCTGTGTTTGAACCCTCGGTATTGGAAATCAAACACCAGGGCACTCAACCACTGAACTATACCACCAGCCCTTTGTACTCTGTATTTTGCTAAGTTGCTGACACTGGCCTAGAACTTGAAGTTCTTCTGCCTCGTCCTCCTAAATTGCTGGGATTACAGGTGTTCTCTACCATGCCTCACCTGAACGTTCACTTAAAAGCTTTCATGCATGGTTTCCTAAACTTGGGCCAAAAATCTCCTCAAATTGTCACTTGGTCTGTCTCTTGTAACCCTACTGCCCGCCCTTTTCAGTGCTAGCCTCATGCTGTATACTGGCAGAGATCATGGATACTAGCTAGGGTGTCAGATGCTTTTGACTGAATGCCTAAGGGGTTTTACTATAATAGCTGCCAGAACTTTCATATGTTTAGGTTTGATTAGATTAATTGTAATATTGTCTTTCTAGTGGAGCTATTTGGAAATTTCCATTTCCCCTTTCCTTTTCTAAGAGTGATCTAGAGCTAAAATGCCTAAATTTGAAACCCTACCAAGATACTAGCTTTGTGACTTTGGACAACTTACCAAATGTAAAAATTGTTTCTACCACACAGGATTGTTGTGAGTATTAAATTGATAAGTACATGTAAAGGATCTAGAATAAGTACTTTGTCATGTGGAGTACTCAATAAATGTTAGTTGTTGTTATTAGTACTATAACATCACAGGAACTAGGGAGAACATTAGATGCTTAAGTGCTGATATTATTTTTGTTTGTTTTGTTTTAAAGGGGACAATTCATCTCTTTCGAAAACCGCAAAGATCTTTTTTTGGCAAGTTATTACAGGAATTTAGACTTGTAGCAGCTGACCGAAGGGTAAGTTATCTCTTAACCCCAACTTTACTGTAAAACAACATTACAACATCTAAAAATGGTAATTTTTAAGGCAAATAGAAATCACTTTTGGCCCCACCATATTGTTCTCATTTTTCCATGTTGGATAATAAGTATTTTTTTAATTACAGTTTTTTTAATATTTTATTAGTTGTCAATGGATCTTTACTTTATTTGTTTACATGTGGTGTTGAGAATCAAACCCAGTGCCTCATATATGCTAGGCAAGCACTCTACCACTAAGCTACATACCCAGCCTGAGTTACATTAAAGCATTTTAAACAAATTTTGTTTACATTAAAGCATTTTAAATAAATTTTGTTTTCTTTTATGGATTCCTTTTGTCTTTAATATTTTTTAAAAATTGAATGTAGTCTAAAGCCAAGTTTTCTCATTCATAACAGGAAAATTAATGAGGCAAGAAACTGTGTCATGCTTTGAGACTATAAATAAAAAGATAATTTCTCTCTTACTTGATCATATGCAGATCTTCTGTTTTTCACTCTTCTCAATATTAAATTATAAGCTCTTTGAGGGCAGTGACTGTGTCTATTTTGCTCACCTTTTTATAGATACACAGAACAAGCACTCAATAAATGTTAATGAGCTTTAAAGCCGGTTTTCATGGAACACAGTAATAAAGAGTACCAGGGATAGTGCCCTTGAATTGTGAACTAGACTAGAAGCTTCGTTTTTTGTTATTTATCATTATATCTCCTATTCCTAAAAATTTGAAATATAGTCAGAACTCAATAAATCTAGCATTTGGAAATATTATCAGCCCCTGAATGTTAGATTTAAAGAGCCAATGATAGAGGATTCATTTGTTTGATAGATACATATTTCATTTAGCATGATCTCAGAACAGATGGATATAGCACTGTAATATTGATAGAAAGCAGCTATATTATATAAGTAAAGAGACATTCTTTAACCATGCATTTTTTTAAAAAAATTTTTTTGTAGTTGTAGATGGATAGAATGCCTTTATTTTATTTGTATATGATGCTAAGGATCGAACCCAGGGCCTCGCACATACTAGGCAAGCGCTCTGCCATTAAGCTACAGCCCCAGTCCTAACCATGCTCTTTTTTGAAGTACAATTAGCCATAGAACAGGTAATAGGAACAAAACCAAAAAATAATATTTCCCCCTTATATTCAGATTTAGTTGTCTGAGGTCAACTGTAAAAATATTAAATGGAAAATTCCAGAAATAAATAATCCATAAGTTTTCAATTGTGTGCCATTCTGAGTAGCATAGCAGAATCTTACACTCTCCTACTTTGTCCCTTGTGGGACATGAGTCATGACTTTGTCCAGTTTATACTACCTCTTAGTCACTTATTAGCTGCCTTGGTTATCAGATCAACTGTCACAATATTGCTATCATAATGCTTGTGTTGAAATAATGCTAAAGTACAAGAACAGTGATGCTGGCAATTTGGATATGCCAAAGTATAGTACTTTCTTTAAATGGAAGTTGCTAATTCTCATCTTTTTTTTTTTTTAATATTTTTTTAGTTGTTGATGGACCTTATTTTTTATTTATTTGTATGTGGTGCTAAGAATTGAACCCAGTGCCTCACGCATGCTAGGCAAGTGTGCTACTGCTGAGCCATGACCTCAGCCCTAATTCTCATCTTATTTTTTTTTTTTTAAAGAGAGAGTGAGAGAGGAGAGAGAGAGAGAGAGAATTTTTAATATTTATTTTTAAGTTCTCGGCGGACACACATCTTTGTTGGTATGTGGTGCTGAGGATTGAACCCGGGCCGCACGCATGCCAGGCGAGCTCGCTACTGCTTGAGCCACATCCCTAGCCCCCCTAATTCTCATCTTAATAAAGAAAAATTATGTGCTGAGGCTGCTAAGATACACAGTACAATAAGATATTTTCACACTCAACATAATTTTTAGTATGGTATATTATGAAAATTGTTCATTTTAATATTATTGTTATTTTTATATTCTGCTTAATTTTTAAGTAAACTTTTAGGTATATACATATAGAACAAAACATAGTGTATAGTTTATCCAGGGTTCTGTCCACAGTTTCAGTCATCTACTGGGACCTGGGAACAGATAATAAGGGGACTATTACATAGGAACACTTGAACTGTACATATATTCTCTATACAAATTTAAATCTTAAGAAATACCTTGGTTCATCTCTTCACTGCTCATAAATGTTGGTTCACATTTTAAGATCCATCTCAGTTCCTTACCACCTACCACTCTCTTTTGGTGGTACTAGGGATTGACCCCAAGGCCTGCACATGCTAAACAAGTACTCTACCACTGAGCTACATATTCAATCCTTTGTATTTTATTTTATTTTATTTTATTTTGTTCATTTTTTTCAGACACATGGAATTAAACTTTTGTTTCTTCTCTCTCAACCTCCCAAGTATCTGGAATTACAGACATGTGCCACCACATCCTGCTTCAGTTCCTTACTTCTTCATCATGAATAATCAGTCTTGCCCTTGGTCACTCCCAGGAGTCCACTGCTCTGGTCATGTAGAAACCTTATCACTCATAAGAACTATATCCTATTGTCTCAATTTCAAGAATTTCACCCAGGGCTGGGGATGTGGCTCAAGCGGTAGCGCGCTCGCCTGGCATGCGTGCGGCCCGGGTTCGATCCTCAGCACCACATACCAACAAAGATGTTGTGTCCGCCGAGAACTAAAAAATAAATATTAAAAAAAAAAATTCTCTCTCTCTCTCTCTCTCTCTCTCTCTCCCCTCTCTCAAAAAAAAAAAAAAAAAAAAAAGAATTTCACCCAGCAGTCACCAGCACCTATCTTTCCAGTTTATTCTTATTACCCAAACTTCAGTCATTCTGCGATTTTACTATGACCTTCAATTTTGTGACTTCACCAAATCGTCACTGTTTTTCACCTCCCTTATCCTCATTCAATTCCTTCACCTCCCTTATCCTCATTCAATTCCTTATCCAGGATTCTGTGCTCCATCATTATCATATTCTGTGCCCTTAACTGCTTTGTGCCCCCATTCTATCATATTTCCTAGAAAATTCTAATGTGTACCTACATCTAAACTACTGAATCTAACCTGAGAGAAATGAAACTCTGCTTACTTGTGTCACTGTGAATTCGTGATCAAATGATGATGCTTATGCTAAAATTCCTTAGTTCATTCAGTTTCCCACTTTCCAAGGTGACTATTTCATACCATTTCTTTCCTTTCTAATCTGAAACTTTCAAAACCACCGTTATCTTCCTTTTGCCTGTTTATCTTGTGTTTTTTTAAATATATTTTTAGTTGTTGATGGATCTTTATTTTATTCACTTATTTATATGTGGTGCTGAGAATTGAACCCAGTCCCTCACAAACGAGAGGCAAGCGCTATACTATTGAGCCCCCTTGCTTCTTTTTTTTTAACTAAAGGAAAAGAAGTGATCTAGCTTGAGTGACAAACAATAAACAAATATATTAAGGTCAGATAGTGATAAGTACTAGGAAGAAAAAAAGTGCTTGGTTTACACCTGTAAACCAAGCCACTCAGGAGGTTGAGCAGAAAGAACATAAGTTCAAGGCCAGTCTGGGTGACTTAGAGAGACCCTGTTTCAAAAAAATAATAGTAAGGGCTGGAGTTGTGGCTCAGTGGTAAAGCACTTGCCTAGCATGTGTAAGGCCCTGGATTCGATTCTCAGTACTGCATATAAATAAATGAATAAAATAAAGGTTCATCAACATATAAAAATAATGCTACTAACAAAATGGGTTGGGGATGGAACTCAGTGTTAGAGTGCTAGCATGTGCAAAGACCTGGGTTCATAAAGTAGGATAAGAAGATAGTAATAGAAGATATGGAAAGGTTTATCTTCCAGATAGAGTGGTCAGAAAAGACCCTTTTGGTAAACTGACATGTGGACAGAAATCTGAATAAGGCAAAGGCAATAAGCATGCAGATACCTGGAAGAGAAAATAGGAACTGCAATGCAAATATCCTGGGGCAGAAGAGGCTTGGATAAGGATAGCTAGAGCAGAGTGAGTGAGAGGGAGTCTGGAATGGCATCAAGTATGTATTTTTTTTTTTTTTTTTTTACTGATCCATTCTTAGTTCCTAGAATAGTGTGTGGCACAAAATAGATAATGAGGCCTGAGGCTGTAGCTCAGTGGCAGAGTGTTTGCCTGGCACGTGTGAGGCGCTGGGTTCGATCCTCAGCACCACATAAAAATAAACGAATAAATAAAGGCATGCTGTTTATCTTTAAAGAAAAGATAATGAGATATTTGTTGGGTGGATAAATAGTTTGATCCAGCAACAGAGTACAGAGTGTTATTTTTCAATGTACATTCTTTTTTAACTTTTTTTTCCCCAAGACTGGGAATTGAGCTCAGGGGCATTCTACAACTAAACTACACCCCCAGCCCTTTAATTTTTTATTCAAGACAGGGTCATGCTGAGTTGTTGAGTGCCTTGCTGTGTTGGTAAGGCTGGCCTAAAACTTATTATCCTTTTCCCTTAAGTCTCCCAAGTGTCTGGAATTACAGGCATGTACCATCATGTCCAGCTTTAGTGTACATTATCCTCTTTTTCTGATTGTTCTTGAATCCCTACCTTGACTAGACTCCAGGTCTGATCATTTCATTAAAGTCTTTACTAGCTTTAGAGTCTTTTGCCTCATATCATTTCTTAAAATGCAAACATCCTTACCTCATCTGCATCCCTGCTTCTGTTCTTGGCTGTAGAAGTTACAGAATGGTGTCTACCAAAAATTCTTGCTGGGCCCGGTGTGGTATTGCATGCCTGAAATTCCAGCTGCTCTGGAGGCTGAGCCAGGAAGATTGTAAGTTCAAAGCCAGCCTCAGCAAAAGTGAGGTGGTAAGCAACTCTGTGAGACCCTGAGACAAAATAGGGCTGGGGATGTGGCTCAGTAGTCAAGTGCCCCTGAGTTCAATCCCTGGTACCCCGCCTCCCCCCCAAAAAAATTCATGCTTGTTTTTTTTTAAATTTTGTGTGTGTGTGTGTCTGTGTGTGTGTGCACGTGCACTTAGAATGAAACCCAGGGCCCTGCACATGCTAAGTACATGCTAAGCACATGATCTACCACTAAGCTGTACCCATAGTCATATACCTACACAGGTAATTGTTGTTATCATCTTTGATGATTCAGTAGTGTGTTCATCATAATAACTCTTTGGAAGATTTACTTCTGGATTTAAATTTCTAGTTCTGCTTTCCCATATCCCTTAATTTTGGAAAATTCTCTTGTATTGTATCTTTTCTAGAGATTTGTGGACTACCAGCTTTGTGCTATTTCTTCATTCAGCCTCATAATTTCTCTGTCAGTCATCTCCTCACCTCAGAGGGATTGTTCTTTTCTAAACCTATACTTTTCCATCTGAGTTCTAAGACCATCCTGTCCCACAACATATTTGACCTTTACAGCTAAATCTCTTTAATTTCAATACCTCCAAACAAAGAGGGCTTTCTTTTAATTTCTTTGCCCTCTACTTGGAAATAAGGATTGGTTTCCCTTCTTTGTATGAAGTATGGTAGGACAAAAGTTGAAAACACTTTACTTGATTTCTTCTTTCTTTACTTTTGGAATACAGTCCTCCTTCCCCTGAGTCGCCTTTTCAGGGCATAGTTCAGGGCCTCCCTGTTGTGTGAACTTCTGAACCATTGTAATTTTTCCTTTTTGCAGTCCTGTTTCATGTGAGTTATTTGGGAAATTATCAAGCATTGCCTTTTTTAAAAATTACTTCCCATTTTGCTATAATTTCCAAAGTATATAAAAGTTTCCAGATTAGTATAAGGAACGCCATTATTCCCTTTTTTTAAGATTTACCAATCGTTTACATTGCCCCTTTTGCTTTATCATTGTCTGTATTTATAGATTTATAGAGAGAAAAATGATATACATATACATGCATAGTTTTCTCAACTATTTGAGAGTTTCTGTGCCAGAATACATTTTCTCTTAAAAAATTCCCCTTTAGGAATTATTCCTTTAGATTTGTATATGATAATAATATAACAACTTTGTTGATGATAATTTTGGTGTAGAAAATGTAACATGAACTTTTTGAAGGAAGTTATGCTTGTTCTTTTGAATATCAGAGTATGAATTACAGCAACATGAACAGACCCAGTGAAATTATTACCACTGTACAAATCAAAGATTTTCCTTTCCACAGTCCTGGAAGATACTACTCTTTGGTGCAATTAACTTGATATGTACTGGCTTCCTGCTTATGTGGTGCAGTTCTACTAATAGTATAGGTATGTCATCGTCATTATTTTTACGAAGTTAGTTTAATTTTTATTTTTCTGGTTTTAAATAAAGGTGTATTTTCCTTTACATAGAATATGTTCTTCTGAAATGTATATAACTCAATGATTTAAATGAAAGAATACATTTTTCCTTTGTTTTTTTAAAAATTTATTTTTTAATTTTAGGTGGACATGATATCTTTATTTTTATGTGGTGATGAGGATCAAACCTAGTGCCTCATGCATGCTAGGTGGGCACTCTACCACTGAGCCTCAACCCAAGCCCAGTCCCTTTTTTTTTTTTTTAATGTCTTTAAAAACAGACCTATGAACCATAAAGTTTTGTTGACATATTATGAAATTATCTGTTTGTTTTTTATGATACCAGGGATTGAATCCAGGAGCACTTAACCACTGAGTCACATCCCCAATTCTTTTTATTTTTCATTTTGAGACAGGGTCTTGCTAAATTGCTTAGGCTGGTTTTGAACTGCAATCCTCCTGCCTTAGCCTCCCAGTTTGCTGGGATTACAGGCGTGCCCAACCATCCCCTGCTAGGACATTATCATTTTAAATGAGCTGTTGGTTTTAAAAAACACCATTCAATCTGGACATTTGTGAAACAGAGTTCTTTTTAGGATAATATATTAAAACCTTACATAATTTATAAGTAAGATTTTGAGGTTTGTTGACATTTCCTTAAAAATGAAATTCTGTAATTTTTTCTTGTGTCTTGATCTCTGATGTTTTGATGCATCACTATTTTCTTCAGGGTATTTAAAAGTTACATTTAAAATAGTACTGAAATGACAAAAGCAGGCAGAAAAATGGTGACGTGACTATGAGTATTTGGTGATTGATTTGTTCCAGTGTAGAAATCTGGTTCTAAAATGAGCTTTTGTGCTCACCAACCTTGGTTACATGTATTAATCAGATTTACTATGTAATTTCCTATTGGAAATATATATATATGGGTTGCTAGTGACTCCAGGCTTTTTTTTTTTTCGTAGTAGATAATCACTGATAAACAATTTTGGTGACTTTCTGTATTTTCTTAAGCATTAATTAAATAACATGTTAATTGGGTTTTTTGTTGTTTTACAGCTTTAACTGCCTATACTTACCTGACCATTTTTGATCTTTTTAGGTAAGTTTTTTAAAACATCTCCTTAATGTTTTATAGCCAAAAATTGCTTCACTGAATATATAAAGAAGTTTTCTTTGCTTAAAGGAAATTAATTTAATAAATAAGTAAAATTATCAATGTAGATCATATGTACAAATTAATATTAAAGAATTATAACAGGGGCTGGG